ATGTTCATTATTTATACTGTCTCTGTCACATGGTGCTTCTAAGCTGGATGAAACCCCAAGATTTTACTGAAACAGCAACTAACACTTTTTCATAATTTCCTTGAACTACCTTCTTATTTGAGGGCAGATAATTTACCTTCACAGTGATCCAGAATGTCCAGGTTTCTTTGGTGATACTGGAGTACAGGAAGACTTACTCAAGATTATAGCAGTCATAACAGTTTCCAAGTGAATCACAGAGGTAGCTCTGAAGTTCTGAAGTATTTCAGGGTTTTCGAATGCATTATTTAGATTATCCTTAAGTAATGTACTAAGCAGGACATGTGTGCATGTGTGTCTGTGCACGCAGGTGCAAACACAAACTGAGAGGACCAAGGCTGAGGCACAGAGAAAGCTCAGAGACCAGGCTAACTTTTAGCTTTAAATATCTCCTATATTACTTAGAGTATTTGTAAGATAGAAAGTAATCAAAGATATCAAAGTAAGCAGATGAATACAAGTTGTTTTCTGACTTTTTAAATGGCAAAACAATTTATGACCGTTTTATTTTCACAATTACAGGCTGTTAAAATCACTGAGGTTAGGGGTTTAAATGATGTAGAGCCACCCACAGCTAGCCTTAGGAATACATTTCTAATTCAGCCTCAGAAATGTTCCTGCATATTAAGATGTCAGAGATCATCGTTGTTTATGCACTGGCTGTTTTCCATAATAATCAGACCCTTGGTCACTCTAGTAGAGAAGAGACTAATGTCATGTTTTTCAGACATGTTTCTCCTAGTAAACCATGATTAGCTCTCTGTAGCACAGGACTGTGCCCTATCAAGTCACAGCATGAAAATTAGTTATTTAAGTCTGTATGCAAACAAGAAATACAATTAAATTTTGTTTCTACTCTCAATAGTCTTCCCAACTCCACAGGCATTTAATGTGCCCAGAATTTTTTAAACTATAGTGACTATTTATCACTAATACTTTCTGTTCAAATCCTATTGTTTTACACTTACACAACTCAGTTTATAACATCAAAGCCTTGCCTGAGTGGATGTTGATATCTTCATTGCCAGTGCTCTCTGCACTTCTCAGTTTATCACACTTACTGTTTGCAGCTATCAGTCTTAAAACTCACAAAGACCCACAAAGCAGAGAAGTTACTTAACCCCATATCAACTATATTTAAATGTCTAATTTCACAAATCTTAAAGAATAATGGAATAGGTTCAGATTCGGCCAGACAGTTCAGGTTCCCTCCTGCATTATTCTGCTAAGAAAAGGAAAAAATTAAGTCATCTTAAATGTACTATTAAAGCATTAACTTCCATTTTTGCTCCAAAGAAGTTAGTTGGGAACGAAGAGCCTTTCAGTCCCATACACTGAGGAAATTTTCTCTACGGTGTAACAATTTATGTTACACCTTTGCTATGAAGACAGGCTGAGAGAGTTGGGGCTGTTCAGCCTGGAGAAGAGAAGGCTCCGGGGTGATCTTATTGCAGCCTTCCAGTACTTAAAGGGGGCCTACAGGAAAGCTGGAGAGGGACTTTTTACACGGGCGTGTAGTGATAGGACAAGGGGCAATGGCTTTAAATGGAAAGAGGGGAGATTTAGATTAGATATAAGGAAGAAATTTTTCACTCAGAGAGTGGTGAGGCACTGGAACAGGTTGCCCAGAGAAGTTGTAGATGCTCCATCCCTGGATGTCTTCAAGGCCAGGTTGGATGAGGCTTTGGGCAACCTGGTGTAGTGGAGAGTTTCCCTGCCCATGGCAGGGGGGTTGGAACTAGATGATCTTTGGGGTCCCTTCCAACCCAAACCATTCTATGATTCGATGATTCTAATTTGAGACCAACAGGGAGTGGATCATGGTTGGCTGAGCATCTGTGGAACAGGACAATGCAACCTTGCCATAGCTGGAAAACTTTTGTGCACAGAATGGTGTGAAGGAAACCATTTTTTTAAGAAGCAACAGAGAACCTGGTATCCATGATGAGACAGCTCCAACAACCCCAATGGCAGGAGCCAATAGTTAGGGACCCTGACAGTGCAGGGCGAATGGTTGGACTCGATGATCTTGAAGGTCTCTTCCAACCAGACGATTATATGATTCTATGAATTCCAGCCCAGTCCATTGGTCAGAGCACTATGGGCAGAGCATGCTTTAGATGCTGGTACCCCAGTATGATCCCAGAGGTGATGTGTTTTGCTGCTCTGATCATTCCACCCTTTACCAGCATAAAGTCAAATTACTCAGTTTTGTGGTATCTAAGCCAAGTTTTGATTGTGCAGTTAGATTATGCTTTCTATTGCTGTAATTTCTAAAATCAGCAAACAAGGAACTGTAAGACAAAAAAACCCCATCTTTTACCACAGCCATAAAGGACATAGGGTAGTACAGAGAGAGTGCAGAGCATATTAAGTGTACAGAAGGGGGTTTTTTCCTTTGGAGTGCTCTTAGACCTCCACAGTGTACGGGAATTAAGGAGATCAGTGCTTTGCATTAATGGGCCCTAGAAAGATTAAATAATTGCTAGCGAGAATAGTAATTACTCTGACTTGCAAATCTACATACTTCCCAGATGTGGAAAGGATCCAAGAGAACAAAGACCACACCATGCAGAAATGGTGAAAATATCAAGTGACCATTGTCTTGGAGGCTTTCTTTCATCTTTCCTCCTGTCTCCACTCTGTATTTGTATAAATATTATGTACTCATAGCTGACAAAATCCATAATCTGGGACAGAGAAAATAAGAGCAAGTCTAACACAATGCCTGTATAAAAATTAGATTTAATGAAGTGTCTACTGTGGATTTATTTCCTGATCTTCTTCTGCGGTAATAAACCCACATCCCTTAACACACTTGGAAGCCAAACAGAAAAATGAAACCAGGAAATTTCTTGGCTGCCATCTACTGTTCGAAACTTTCCTGTATCACACAGAAGAATAAAACGAAGAACAAACCCCAAGAGCACTCACTGACATCTCCAGGTTTTCTCCTTCTCTTTACTTTCTTGGATAAAAATGGTATCTTTGAACTGCTGTTAAAAACCAATATATTTCTGTAAGGATTCTGTGTACGTGCTCACCTTTTAATCAGTACCCAGAACAAGAAACACAAAAGCTTGTAAAGTTAATGATTTAGTGAAAACACTGTAATATTTTTAGTATTTCAGTGAAAAACTGTATTTGTTAAGAGTTCTACTAATTCACTAGAGAGCACTAGAGAGTGATTTCACTATACAGCAATAAGGCAGTCAGAGACTGAAAACTAATGTGCAAGAAAGCTGTCTGCCTTCCCTTTTCTTGAGGTTTTGTGTTACTATCAGGGTAAGACCTACTACATATTTGTTTCTCTGTCTCTCCTATTTTGACAGCTGTCTAGATCTCTGTCCTCTTCAACTCCTCTGCCTCATCTCCTGCCTCTTTGCTGCCCCAAAGAAGCCACTATGATCCTGCAGATCTGATGAATAAGACATGCTGGAATGAAAAGGGAATCTTCTTTATGTCTGACCTATAATAAGATGTTTGGAAACTAGGTTTAAATGATATAGGATGCCAGGTTGTCACAGTTTATGTGTTTTGACAGTTCAGTCAAAAGCTGAAGAGAATATCATAGAATCATAGAATGGTTAGGGTTGGAAGGGACCTTAAAGATCATCTAGTTCCAACCCCCCTGCCATGGGCAGAGAAATCCTCCACTACACCAGGTTGCCCAAAGCCTCATCCTACCTGGCCTTGAACACTTCCAGGGACGGGGCATCCACAACTTCTCTGGGCAATCTGTTCCAGTGCCTCACCACTCTCTGAGTGAAAAATTTCTTCCTTATATCTAATCTAAATCTCCCCTCTTTCAGTTTAAATCCATTGCCCCTTGTCCTACCAGCACATGCCCTTGTAAAAAGTCCCTCTCCAGCTTTCCTGTAGGCCCCCTTTAAGTACTGGAAGGCTGCAATAAGATCTCCCCGGAGCCTTCTCTTCTCCAGGCTGAACAGCCCCAACTCTCTCAGCCCGTCTTCATAGCAGAGGTGCTCCAGCCCTCGGATCATATCACCTGCAATAAAGGAGAACCTGGAGTTTACTGAGGGACTTTAGGCCTGAAAGGACAAAAACATCTGAAATTGGATTCCTGGGTCAATTCTGTCACTCACTTTCAGACTTTATTCATATGGCTATAAACTGAAGATTCATCCTAGTAAAATATACTGGGAGTCAATTAATTGCTTAATCTGAAAACATCTAGTAACCCTCGCTTTATCATTTAGTCCAAACCCATTCACAGCAGGTCCAACAAGTTCAGGCTGCTCAGGTCCTGTCCAGTCAGGTTTTGAACAGGATGGAGATGTCAAACCTCTCTGGACAACCAGTTCCAGTATTTCACCACCTCCACCAGCCAACCTGTCTCCTACTCATTCACCTGCTTGGCACATTTAAAAAAACAGTATTTCTAAGATAATAAATCAGCATAATGAAGCTGATAACGTACTTCTAGTTTCTAGGGAACAAACTGATCCCTCTCACACAAAGGTATCAGATGGTGAAACAGCTTTTCAAGAACGGTTGTAGAATACAACACACATTAAAAAATTGAACCTTTGTAGAAAGGTACTAACAGATGATCTAGTAGTAACGTCAGCTTTCACAAAGTCTTTTTCTGTACTCTTTAGTTTCCTTTAGCATTCCTCAAAGCTCAGAGTGGTCTGCAGAAAAGTAATACTGATCGGGAATCAGTCTACTAGCAATCTGAAAGGTACTATACTCAGCGGCTGAGGAATGCAAGCAGGTCAGGGCTCATACTGTAATAAAAAGGAGAAAATACAAAAGAAAGCAAGGAAATTAAACAAAAGAAACCGCCTCACCTTCAGCACAATAAAAAGTAAGCAGCTAGAAAAAGTGTATTATGGTTCATGAGCTGTGTACCAGGTCATTCTGAACCTTGCGGGCAGGGATGTAATGATCTGTATTTCCAGGAAGAGAATTTGGATGAACTTGGTACTTCAACCTACCTGGTTTGAAATGGGGTAAAGAGTGGACTCCAGGCCACGTATCTTCATTTGGTGTTCCAAGTACCTGTGCACAAAAAGAGAAAAAAGAAAGAAAAATACCACACATTGTTTTAAAGAAAAAGACTTAACAAGCCATAGCATTGCATAAAACCATTCCTCATTGTAAGCTCAATGTGTCTTACAATGTAAACTTTAAATATGCTTAATTATTGGGGGAAGGAGGGGAGGAAGAGGGTACAAAAAGTTAAATGATTAGCACGGTTCCAAGGTACCGGTGGAGTCAGTAAAGCATGTTAACAGTGCTGTGTTCCTGTCAGGTTGCCCAATACATGTTAAAGCCACTTTCCATTGACAAGTGTCAAGCTATCTGCCTATCTTAGAGTGCTGGTGCTACAGAGGCTAGATATTTTACCTCAGAAATAATTTCAACCCCTGCAAACTTAAATAAGATGAACAGATACCCAATAGATGCTAGGATAGAAGATTCGCACAGATGGTGAAGCAGATGACCAAGAGCATGGCATGAACAAGAATGCACAAAGAATAGTTGCCATTTTAAGTGGATGCAGTATATATAAAAATAGTACATTTTTAGGAAATAAAGACTTTATTGACACATGCATTATGTTTTGTTTCTATTCACTTCAACTGTCTTCTCTCTTGTAGCGTAAGTCAGACCAGCTTTCAGCAGCGAAGTATTTAACGCTTCTCATGTGCATCTTATATCCTCTGCTCACAAGAAAAGTTCACCCTCTGTGTCTTTGGCACCAACAATAAATAAATTGAGAGAACCGCTGTAATTCTCCCAAACCTTGTTATGCTTCAGAAGATATAACTGTCAATGCTTGCTTTAAGTGGAGCTGAGGAGAACACTTAAATTAGAAGCTCTAGAAATGCATTTCTGAATGAGTTGTTGAATTTGCTATTTCACTAGTGGCATCTTTCTTGTTACAAATTCACATGCTATTTCTAACACGCATGAAAATGCTAGGGACTGTTTTCTGTATTTGTTATAAGCTCAGGCCCAGGAATAAAAGGCTGATATTCTAAAGCGAAAGCATTTCACACCAGTCTGGTGCTTGTTTGGCATTGCCATAAATAATTGTACAAAACCCCTGCCAGCCCTGCTCCTACCCGCACTACAGATCTTCTGAATACATCTTTTGGACCTGTATAACTTAAGTCACTGTGACATTCTGTGATCACCTACATCAGCACAAAACAAGCACAAAGGTAGTGTGAAAATCTTTGGACCCAGTATGTGAAGGTTTGTGACACTTCAGGGCAAGCTACAAGACATCTACTCTCAAGCATTTGTAGCTGAAGAGATTTATTTTTTTTTTAATTGTGTCTGCTGCAGTATACATATGCATTAAGAGCATTAAAGGAAGGACTGCTCCAGAATATTTGTTGTACTTGTTAAGCTATGTAAACATTTGTTCATGTTGATAAATTCAAGCTTAAAAAAATTCTTAGAAACAAAACTGGGAAGCTAAACCACAAAAAAGTTCTCTTCAACTCTGCTAGAAATTTATTTCATAGAATTTAGAAATGGGCTTAAAAACTTGAACCAAAAGTAAATGACCTCTTAAATAGATACAATTCTTACCTACAAGGTGTGCTTTATGACTCTAGGGCCTCATATTTGTTAAGCAATTTACAATATTAACGTTCTTCTAATCTAAGAATGTTAATGCAAAAAGTACTTTTCTCCACTATCAAATACAAGCAGCAAATAGTCCAATATAGATGCAGTATGGCCAGTAGGAGCTGAAAGCAGAGCACCAAGGTGTCAGAGAAACAAAAACGACAGTATCAGTGCAGTTAGACAGTATATATTCATTGGGTTATTTGGATGTGCAAGTTCACTGATTTTATTTGTAAATGTTGTTCATAGGACATTGCTTTCAGTCCTTCTGAAATAGGTCTTGATTGGCAGTTGAACAAGATAAACCTGGTTCTGCAACGCTGATTCATCACAACACCTGTATTCATTTCATTGTTGCTAACAGGGAGAGCGCAATTCTCTCATTAAACATAGCATAAGAAGTTAGGAGACACCATTGACACTATGTCACTAAATCGATTTACAAATAACTTCTACTCAGCTTCTGCATTAGTCAAACTGCTGGTGCCAAGCACCTCCCAGACCAGGAGAGGGAGCCCGTGGATTATAAACAGAGATTCTTACATCCTCAATTTAAATTCAGACATATGGTCCTCAACTTTGCAACCCCTCTTGGCAAATCAAAGGAATATTCTCTCACGAAATGTTATGAACATAAGAAAATTAGCCATATCTTTCTAAACGTGTGTTCTTAATTGTCTCTTATTTTAGGGGAGACATAGGCAGCTAAGGCACTGCACAGATAAATACTAAAACCAGATAAAAAACTTCCAGTGCACGACACAATATTTATCTGACCAATATAAGGTAGAACTTGGAGCTAAGAAATGGATTATTCTGATTTTCAAAGCAACATCAGGCCCAGTAACAGAGGACTTGATGGGAGATGACTTTTGTAATTAATCTTATGTGACTCACAATTTTTTGTTTCACTAGTTTTCCAATCTATTTCTTTAATAATACATTAACACATCTGCTGCTACAGCACTTAAGAGCCAGCTACAAACAAGTTCTGTGCATTGGAGTACTCAAACCACCTACAATACTTATACCTTCTGTCAAGGGTAACAGGCTAAAAACAACTCAGGTATTCTATCGTCTAAATGCCTACCATTTTTAAGGTAGGGGTACCTGGGAGTTCGGGCAAAGATCCAGACACTGTATTTTAATGCATTGTATAAACACTATAAAGATCATCCTTCACCCACACAATTTTTAACATGCACAACACAGAAATTCACAATATGTGACTATCAATTAACAAACAGGAGGAGAAGGGAGCAGTGAAAGAACTGCGGTTTTGGATAAAATGAAACAGTCACTGCCCACGAGTATGTCAACATAAGATTTGTAGGCATCACCTTGCAAGTGATGCTTCTAAGCAGCAATCAATCCCGTTTTGATGAGGTGAGATTAGGCAATCCAAAGCAATAAGTTTTACCACCTGCTATAAACAAAGCAAAGAGGAGTTCACATGTAACACCATGGTGGAGAAGGATCTGCCTTGTTTTGCAGCTTACAAAAGAGAATTAAAGGACCAACATAGAAAAGAAAAGTGGAGGAGGAAGGGAGAACCCAACAGTCTTCTGGTTTCACTCCAAAACACTGTCCCTTAGCAGTTAAGGCTGATTATCAAGATCAAACCACTGGCAACATCTTAGCATCTAACTGATTATATGAGGGAGCCAGCTGTAGCAAACCACTGCCTACCCAGCCAGTGCTGGAGAGCAAGTCTAACCTTATAGCAACCAGTAGAAGTGGAACACACAGGAGACACAGTGGCCTGGGATAACAACTGAACACCAGGAGCTGTTATTTTACAAGTGACCTCCTAGCCTCGACTATGCTTTCATGGTCCATCACTTAATTCTCATCTCAAGCACGCCACCAGGAGTTCTGTCTTTTCTACATTTTAACACTTTTTCTTTCCATTTCACGTCCCAAACCCATGAAAATAACCACCACTGTCAAGACAATCAAGCCCAAACTTAATACGGCAAATAAGCTTTTATTTACCATTGAGAATTATTTGAATAAAATAAAACTAACTAGTTTGCATTCTCTAGTGATAATTTGCTTCTCAGTGAGGTAAACATTCCACTTGCATGGTTTGATATCCTGTCTTTTAAACTGAATTACTAACACAAGAATAATGTACAATTCTCAAATTTGGAATGGATTTAATGTTTTCCAGAGACCAGAATGATTATGGTTTCTGTAGAGAAAACTCCAAAACCTACTGGGGTTTTGCTGTTCCATACTACATACAACACTTTGGGCTCTTTTATTCCCTATCAAACAAGATAAAATGACCTTCTTATTTGAAACTTGCTGTTCAAAATCAAGATCAGATTCTAATCTAATTTGTAGGGTGAGAAACCTATTTATACAAAAATAACAGATTTACAATACATCAGGGTACTGAGGGCCAAATACCCTTACTGCCAATTGACAGTGTTACAGTTTGGCAGAAAGTTACAGAAACAGAACCTGCTGTTCAAATCTCCATACACAAGCATGATATAGAAAGATTTCCCAGGAAACACAACACAAAGGCATTATGGTCTATTGCATCGCTTTGATTTTTTAATATAAGAAAAAAGTTATTTGCTTTTTGCATCTAATTTTATAAAGACTCATCATTCCCTTAATTAACCTGCTCCCTGGTGTGCAAAGGAATCATTATTTTACAGTGAGCATTATGCCACTCTACCAACACAATTAGTCATGTTGTTCTGTATTCTGCTTTGAATGCAAAAACATTCCTGCCATGTAATAAGGTCATTCTGGGTAACAATTTGTCTGGAGAAGTCATCTGAATCTCTTGTTAGATGAGCAGCAGGGCAAATCTTTCTCAACAGCTCCTTCTCAAGTGCTGGCATAATTAAAAACCAAACATTTCCATTTGCACTACAACTTTCGAATATACAAGCCTGTACATTAATGAAATAATGATTTAACCCTTCTTAGCTCTGACAATCTCCAAGAAAGTGATGGTTTGTACTTCAACAGGACAAAGAAAATGCAGCCTGTGGTATTATCCAGGGTTTTGTAGCAACAGAACAGAACGAAAAACAAGATCAGCATGCAAATAAGCTGCCCTTCCTCAGACAACATTTATGGAAATTAGACTAAGCAATTTGCTGAGTTTTCAAGTTTTTTCACTTTAGGTCAACTTGATGAACAAACAAAGTTTAGTCACAAAAATGTCAGGAGAATGAATTTTTACTTGTTTTTCCTCCTTGAATAATAATAAAAAAAGGTTCTTTTTGAAACTGTTCTAGAATTTTAACTAGGAAAAGTTACAAGCTGGATGTAAAAATGTTTTCTTATTTTTCTTTTTAAGAATCATCAAGATTTCTGTTCCAGTCTTCCTATCTGCTGGGTAAAACATATTGCGCTTAGTGAATCCTTGGCTATGATGTACCATGGGAGAC